TTCCCTACAGAAGTGGAAGACTCCTTCACAAGATTTGATCTCAACTCTAATGATCCATGAGCTAAAAAGGGTCTGCTAACAAATATCCCCTTTTTAAAGGTTCCAACTCACTCCCAGTCCCTAATTGGATTTGTCCAACACTGTTTCATTTTTGAACCCAGTCCACATTTGCATTGCTGTGGGTTCTCAAGGATAGAAGGACCACAGGGCACAGGTTGACTTATGTTCAAGCCCCCCATGGAGAGTGTGGCTTGGTCAGTGCAAGGCTCTGGGAGAAATCACTGGCTGGTCCATGAAGCAAAGTGATGGCAGAGGGGGAGGGAGAAGATGCAAGGTGGCTGGTGTAGCAGGAGAACTCATTCCAGAATTAAATATTGTTCCTAAGCCCTGAGGTCTGTTGCATGTTTGTGGATTTGGGAGACCTCGACGCCTCGCTCCTCCTCTTCCTCCTCCTCCTCCTCCACCACCCGCTTTACTTCCTCTGCTTTCCTTCACTGGGACTTCTCATCAGATGCAGATGGGGTGTGTTCACGGGGCAGCGACATGCTCTTGTGGTGGTCCCACAGCTTGTGGAGCTCGGTGGCCTCGTTCTCACTGCTGCTGGTGCCGCTGTCCCGGAAACTGGCCAGAGGAGGACGCACCTTCACACCTTTCACTGTCACAGAGCCCTCAATGGCTTTGCGAAGCTGGATGAAGAAAGACAAACCATTTGTTGGATAAGAGGAAAGAGAAAGGAGAGGCAGAAATGAATGGATATCTATTAGTATCTGCAGCTCTCCTTGCCACCTACACACAGCAGAAATGAAAGTATATCAAGAAATGTCAGTACACAGGGTCAGACCTGCTCCCGCCACAGCAGATACCGCAGCCTGCCTTTTAGAAGTGCTCATAAAGTTTTTAGAGGAAATCAAAGTGACCGAGACTAGCAGAGGCAATAACTTACGTAGGGTGTTGGTAAAGCGAATACAGGACTCTGCTTGTGTTTTACACAGATGTACGACTGTGCTGCTGCTGTTGCCAGTATAGCGCAGCAAAGCTCGTTACGGTTTGAAAGCGTTTTTGTAGTTTTGTGAGCACCAGTCGAAAAACTTACACATGAACCGTACACAGCTACATCAGCAACATGTGGTTCATGTCTGCTGAAATGAAATATTTCCTCAAATGTTACCACGGGAATCACATAAACAAACGAAGATAAAGTAATAGTCTATTCTCTTTATGTTACTTTGAAATAATATTTGTTAAAATTTGGTACTAATAATTCATTATTATTATTAAAGACAAAGCTCTGAGACGATCTATGCCAACACTAGCTTACAATTTCAACGGTTACTGCTACACTGATTCCAGCTGTTTTAACCATTTATATTTTATTTCAACCATTTATTCACTACATAGCTATTTTAACCATTACCCTACATTTAGCTGTTTGAATTGTTTATTCACTACATTTAGCAAACTTAATTTTGCCAAGCCATTGGATGGTTATTCAGCCATTTATCCATTACTTTCCGCTCACAGTTTGAACTATTAATTCAGTGTGTTTAGCTGTTTTAACCATTACTTTTAGATAAATGTTTATTTGCCACTTTTCGATAACAGTTTAAATGATTTAAATTATTTATTCATTACTTTGAGCTAACCATTTGAATTGTTTAGTCAATAAACACAGTTTGGAGCAATGTGAAGTGTTGTTGTGATTCTCTCAGTCTCTGCTCTCTAAGTATTAGTACCACTGAATCAGGTCATGCCAAGTTTGCCAGTTGGCTGATAGGGTGAAGGACGCAAAACAGATCCTGGGGCAGCACTGAAAAGAATTGTGCACGTTGTAGGGTAGAAATAACGCACTATAATCACACACACAGACATCCCTTGATACTCCTTGTCCATACAGAGCAGAGAAGCTGATAAACGGCTACTAGTGTGTGACAGAGGCTAAGCTTTATCTGTCTTGGCTGCTTTTTTTGTCTGCTGTTGGAACAGAGAACAAAAATGCCTAAATGTCAGAGACAGGCAAGCAGCACTACACTTAGCAACAATCCTCTCACCACTTCCTGACCAATTCACATGGAGCAAAGGGTTTTCAGCTGTTTCTGAGGCAGGAGGAGAAATGGGAAGAGAGGGAGGGAGGCAGAGAACAGACAGAGAGACAGCAATTTTAAGCAGCCTTTTGTCTGTCACAGTACATAAAAGGCAGAGGGAGGAGGAATCAATGTTGACTGAAATGACTGAGTGTGTGTGCACAGCATGGTGACAGCACTCCTGATGAAATTGACAGTGATTTTACAGTTGTGAAAGCGGTGAATATGCTGCTTGTGTAAGTCATGACAGTCACGAAAGTTTACATAAGAAATTAACAAAAAAAAGTAAGTTGTTAAAGATGTACCTTAATTTTGCAACACTGGTGAAGAATACACCAAAATGACTTGACTGTTACTGTACCTCTTTGAGGGAAACCACCCCGATGAGTCGTCCGATGCTGGTGACGTAGGCGTGGTCGAGGCCCAGCAGGGAGAAGATGGTGTGGGTCTGAGGAAGAACGGCAAAGGTGGTTGGAAACAAACAAACAAAAAAACTGTACAAATCTGAGCAATTCTGTGCTGTGTTCGTACATTAAATATGCACCAGTGACTTCAACTAAATGTGCATACAGGACAGTGATCAAAGTGGCCTGACTGTGTTACATGAGCAAAAAACACACACAAACTACAGGTTTAACATCCAAACAGAGTCTGGTGCCTTAGATAATTACCTACACCTGTTCTGTCTAAAGTCTAAAGATGACAGCGTATCAGTTACATGGCCTAACCATAATAATAGGAACGCCTAGAAACCCAGAACACACCCGATACAGCAAAAAACAAAAATAATAAACATTTCATTATGATGCAATTCTGTTCAACTGCAGCACAAACTAGATCTTCCACGATGTAGTGGAATCAACACCTCTAAACAATATCAACCAAAGTGGAACATTATCACCTTCAGGAAGGAGAATGTATTGCAGTACTGCTGTATTAAACTGCATTGGTTTAAACTAGGTGTATCTAATAAGCTGACAACAGTGTATGTTCACAGTCTGACACGAGAAGACACCTGCAGCAGAGAGAAAGTTTCTGCTCAGCTTAACTCAGACTTTGACATATGAGCATGATTTCTCACGTCACATCTACTTAGGAAGCCAACTGTGGTCCAGTTTGTAACTTCCAGTGTACAAACACTGAGAATCATTGAAGTGCAAAATATCTGGATAGCTTCAACACTGAGAATCACTGAAGTGCAAAATATCTGGATAGCTTCATTCTGAAATAAACTATTTTTGCATATCCATAGATAAGGAAGGAGCAGATGTTATTTTAATAATTTTTAACAAGGTGATTTAACTTTATCTGTGGAAAAAAACAGACAATTACTCAAAGGAGAGTAATGTTAAGTCATATCTGAAGGATATTACTGTGACAAACAGTAAAAATGTCAGCTTTTATGTTGTTGTAAATGCAGGTTTTTCATTTTCCTATGACCCTGTTTTGCTCTATTTATATTATTAGGACTGTCTAAACTGATTCAATGACTTACTTCCCCCACTGGGATTAATGTGTAATTAAATCTTAGCTCTAGATTTAATCTCAGTACTAGATTTACTGTGGGCATTTTAGCATTTAGTGGGACTTGTTGCTAAGACAGAATGGGCATTTGGGACACTTGAAATTGATCCCACTGTGCCAGCAAACGGAAGCTGTGCCTGGGAAAGGTTTGTTAAGTGTTTTTAGGTTGCGCCAGCAGTAATGTGATCCACCAAGGAGTTTCCCCACAGGAGGATACAGTAGCTTCTGTGGGGACTCTGGGGAATCACTTCCAGTTCATCCTATTCACATCCCTTTCAACTGCAATTCACTGATTAAAGGTGCTACTGATTTTAGAATCAACCTCTTATCAGCACTGTAATCACAGACTAGACAGACACTGACATTACAGACTGAACAACTTCAACTTCTGCATTTAACATAGAACTACTTGGTCATTTTTGGTGTTTGTCCACATTAACCACCAAGTTTGACGGGTATGACAATGGGAATCATGTGCTATGGCTTTCACAATCACTGATCTCAACCCAGTTTAACTCAAAATGCTGGACCTGCAGCATCAAAAGACCAAAACAGGGACTCTGTTGTAATGGAGTTAGACTTGTAAAGTCAATGCCACAAGTCAGCTCCTCTGGAGACTCATAGTTACACAAAACCTTCTGAAGTCTCATGGTTTTACTTTATTTTGTCTCCTGTGTTTGTTGTAAATTGAGTTATCTATCCCCTTAATAACATTAGTTCTGTAAATCCCCTCTGTTTTGCCTGGGTTGGACAAGTTAATAACTAAAGACAAGAGTTAAAAACTCAAATATATTGTCATGTAAATATTCCAACAAACAGATTTGTCCATTACAAAGAGACAAACAAACAACAACAATCTCATTTAACATGGGACAAATGGACAAATTGAGAAAGGCCAGGCAGGAGAGCAGATCTCACACATGGAGAGTGTCACTTTACCTGCAGGCACACACACACGCACCTGAATACAGCAGTAGCAGACAGTGTTTATTATGCTGAAGGAGATTGTGCGTGGTATTGGTTTAGATAATGCAAAGCAGAGGGAGGGGAGTGAGATGGATTGGTGCAGGATCCTTCTCTTAAATTTTTAAAGAGTACTCACACAGAGCTCACAGGATGAGACAGAGAGGGAAGGCAGGTAGCTTTATGAATGGATGCTGCCACAGTCACTGGCAAGCCAGAAAGAATCTGTGTCTATTTGTGCGTGGGGGGGGTTTAAGTATTTAAACAGAGAAATGCGTGTGTTGAAGACAGACGCAGTAAGAAAATGAAATCAACACAAGCTCTAAAGAACTAAAGCTCTTTTCTTTGCACTACCCCTTCTCTTTCTCCTTCATACAGCAGGGACAGCTTGGTTTGAGTGTGTGATCTTTTGGACTGTTGCATGATTTTCCACTGCACACCACCAGTGTTACTTCTGGCACCTGAATTTAGTTTTAGTCTTCTAGTTTTCTGATTTTTATTAGTTCTAGTCTAGTCACCAAAAAACTAAAAACTTTAGTTTTCAAGCTAAGTCGGTGAATACTGTACAATGAATACAGCGATATGTCTCAAACAAACATTTAGAGACAGATTTAGATGCATTTCATGTTAATCGGACCTTAATCTGACCTCGAAAAAGGGAAGGCTTCCTCCAAGGCCAGAGATTTATTCCAACACTAGTGATGACATCTTGATTCAATTTTGGATCTTCATCAAGACAGTGAGTTTCAAAAAGCTGGTAAATTTCAGGTTCACACTTGTATCTCTGATCACCAATGTTAGGCTCCCTGACCATGTCAACTGGTAATGCTCACCCTAAGAGTCGGAAACATCCCATAGCAATTATCACTGTCAATACATAGTATGACAGTATTCAGCTTTTATGCACCGATTCACTTCCCAATTGCTTCTATTCCTTTAAATTGAGGCTTAAATTTTATGTGTCACTGTCTTCTATTCATTTAAATTAAGCAGTACTCATTATCTTCCACTACACTGTTTTTTAAATCAGTTTTATTACAGGTTCAGAACAAGCTTCTCTTCTAATGTTATTTTATAATCCTTTTAAGTGTTTAACATGACTTGTGCTTCTAAATATATTGCCTTAATACCCTTTTATACCTATTTAAGTTACACTCAATTGCCTTGTTGAGAGGTACATAACTTGGTAAAAATGTTTCCTGCCTTGTCCAAATCATTAAATGTTCATCCACCCTTTCTGATATTTCAAGCACATGCTGTGTACCAGGAATTCCTCCAAATTGAAATACTTGGTTCCTATGTTCAAGTGGATATCCTGAAACACAATACTAAGACATACACATGGTAGCAAGGATAATACACATTTGTGCTCCAGCATGACGCAAAGAGAGGTTGAACAACAGATGTATTTACAATCAGACCTTATGCAACGACGTGCGCTCCACCAGCTGGAACGGCGCGGGGTCAATCTTGCAGTTGTTGAAGTTAACCTGCTCATCAAGCTGCTTCTCCTCCCACTCTGCAATCTGCAAAACACACAGAGGAGAAGGGAAATGAGTGACGAGAGATGCATGTCTGTGAGGATTTGCCAAGGAAAGCAGGAACAAAAGAGAAGTGTCTTTGTAGCATTTAAACAGCTAGTAGTACTGAATGACTAATATATACCTAATTAACTGCATCATATTCAACTGGAGACATATTGTAGATGACAACAACCTGACTTTAACCTTCAGTGAAATGTTATTTTTTACTGTCTGATCACAGTATAAAACTCGGAGGGACAGTGTGTGTAATAGAAGCTGTTAACACAAAATATCTGTATGTCTGGTGTAATCCCACACCTCCTCCTGACAAATCACCTCCCTCTGATAGACAATCAATGGATAGGGCACCACATCGAGTGCCCTATAAATCATAAAAGACTGACGAACAATGAAGGTGAACCGCGAGTACGGAGGGGAGATGGCAGACACGCGAGACATTGGTGGAGAGCAATGATTGAGAAAAGAGGAGACAGAGGGGAAAGTGTGAGGAATGTCCAGCCAACAGAAGAAATAAGAGGTGCTGTTGATGAATTATGAATGATGTCATAGCCAAAAAATATAAGACTCCAGGGTAATCAGGCCATTTGGGGATAATGAGAAATCTGAAAAGCCCAATCTGTCAGAGTGTGACCTCAACAAGAGCAAGCCAAGACTCAAGTTAGACAAATACAGGTTTCTGAAGACTAACACCACATGTCAAGAATCCAGTGTATTTGACAGTTGATTTGTTCCTCATTGTCAGTAAGTCCCATGAAACAATCAGAGCTCCTCAGTGGAATGTTCTATCATTTAATCTCATTAAAGCATGCTGTTGAAAACTATCACTTAACTATTTAGGTAAAAATAAAGTAGAAGTCCAGAGGTTTACTGGAGTAGTCTATCTGTGATAGAAGGTGCAGAAAGGTTTAATAACTGCATTTGTTTGTTGACTGGCTAAAGGACATGTCTGATAGCTTGTGAGCCTTCGCTGCTTTGGCTGTGATGCGTGTTGTGTGACTGGCTATCCATCCCACCTCTCTAATGGTCATGTCGTCCTCCACATCCCCATCATCCTGCATAGGAGGAGGAACAGTATAACAATCAGCACAGATAACACAGATATACATAAAGTACACACAAACAATAATACAAAGAATGTGCACAACACAAATACACAAGCTTAAACAATAATACATAGAATGTGCACAACACAAATACACAAGCAGAGATGTAATGGCAAACAATTATGTCCCAGTCAACATTTATTTTAACTGCTCCCCTTCCAATACATCTGTGCATATACTGCATGATGAAATGACACTGAAAACACAAAATCGTTTCATGAGTGCTATACAGTGCTGCTGTGCTGAGACAGATGAACAGAAATGGAATGAGCGACTACGGTGCATTTAATGAGCGCGGGGATATGATGCTGTAAGATGTCAGAGCAGATGATCATTATTATGACTGATCTGCGATGCTCTCAGGCCAACACTGTTTGACAGGCTTGAGTTGAACTTGCAACCCTGGGTTTCACACAGAAGCTAAAGGGACATTACAGAAGTCTGGGTCATGAAACTATAATGCACAGCTGAGTGTGTGTATGGAGCCCTGTTGGCGTGTGTGTGTGTGTGATGGGCTGTGAAAATGTTTAATCGTGTGCTTGCAAACTTTCTCAGGATTTAATGCAGCAGAACGTGTGTGTGTTTGTGTGTTGCAGAGAAAGGAAAAGGCAGAGTCGGTGTGACCCAGGGGCTGATGGGAGCCCTGAGCTCATTTATCCTCATCACGACGGTGGCTGACCTGTTCATAAACCTAGAAACTGTTGCCACTCAGTGGAAAAGAGGTGTCCTACTGTAGCAAGCAAGAGGCCACACACACACACACACGCACACACACACACACACACACACACTTCTTTACTTAGGTAAAAGTAGCAACACCACAGTGTAAAAATGCTGTTATATGTTAAAGTCCTACAATCACAAAATGACATTTAAGTTAAAGTACAGTAAGTAAAAGTATTAGTTTAAAAATATAAAAGGACCTGAAGTGTATTCATCATTTATCATTTGAATTATTGCTGGGTAGCTTATAAATTTACCACCAAGGGTCAACAGCCTTACGATTATACTGTATTTTCTTTTATTACTCTGATTCTGAACGGTAATTAGTAACTAAAATGATCAAATAAATATAGTGGGGTAAAAAGTACAATATTTGCCTCTAAAATATATTGAAGTCAACTTAGTTACTTTCCACCTCTGAAAAACTTAAGTATAAAATTGTAGTTCTGTACAGTACTTGAGTAAATGTACAGTACTTAGTTACTTTCCACCTCTGCCCATACAACACTTTGTCTCTGCTGCCTCATTCTGGTTGTCACACAACACAAGGGCAAGTTGAATGTCGCCAAGACACGTTGTTCCAGGGGTAAAATGTAAACTAAAAAAATAAATGAGATCGAATCACTTTGCTGTGTGTGTGTTTGCAGAAGGAAGTAGGTTTCGAGAGACAGAGAAAGGTGGGACTGTGCATGCAAAGTAGGTGCTTTCAGAAAGATTAACTGCACTATTAAGAGAGTAAATCTCTGCTTCTGGATACACAAGTGATGGAGAAGTGTGTGCGTGCATGTGTGTGTACGTGTAGTGGGAGAAAAAGAAAAAAAACTTTGTGAGTCTACATGTGACTTGACAGTGAAATCAGGGGAGCTGTGTGTGCATATTCAAATGGGATTTGAATCAGCATGAGTGTGTGTGTGTGTGTGTGTGTGTGTGCGCGTGCAGAGACATGTGAGACTCCAGTGTACAGACAATAGGCTGATGAAGCTGTATTGCTTGCTCTGCTGTTTCTGTGACCAGACAAAGATTTGAAAGGCCCGTTGTTCTTCCCTCCCTCTCTGCAGCGATCGAGTTCCATCCAGTCAACAGGGAAAACGCACAATCTAAACCAGCTGCATCACACTGACAGCACACTCTGTCTGCACTCTGCTGCAGTTAGCTATAATGGAGAGATTTTTGTGATTTGGATAAAGGAAAGGGCCTCCTTCTCCATTAAAACCCCTTTTTTAAATTCAGTCTATAGCAGATGGAAGTAGCAAGTCTTTCTTTACACTTAATTGTTGCTGAAGGGAAGGCATTATTTGTCAAGCATCATAGCATCTTTGTCTTAGAAATCCAAAAACTACCTCTGTGTTAAAGGGTTAAATCTTGTGGATTACAAAATATTTTGTCAAATTTAAGTGGTGTCTAGTCATGCAGAAAGTTTTTCTTGTTGTTGTTTTAAGTCAACTTATCTGGAATTTCTGCTGTTGCCCTAATACAACAAAAACTGCATAGGGCTCTGGCAAAATGATGCAGCCCCATGTGACAAAAAAGTAGGATATGGTTAAACTTTCACCGCACAGGATGGTGACATCATGCGGCAAAGGTACTGCATTGACCAATCATGTATGGGGGACGATCGAGACATGGACTCCCATGGGAAGAAGACTTTTATCGAGGCATGGACTCCCATGGGAAGAAGACTTTTGTTTACTTTGTTATAGCAAGAGCATTCACTGCTACTCACTGTCAAATTTGGGTCACTGTTAATGCATCGTATCAACACACCATGCATTTTTGTTAGTACTGGATGTTAAACTGTTTTTTAATCCATTACTGCTGAAACACTATTGGTAGAATTGGTGCTAAGGTAGAGTAGGCTACGTTAGCAGCATGGCTAATCAAAACACAATGGAACCTCCCAGGCTGGAAACGTGAATGAAGCCACTCACGTCAAAGTGTTGGGCTGACTGAGATACTCACATTGCCATCTCTAGAGTCCTGTGGCTATCTACAGTAACATAGGTTAAAAACCGTTGCAGTGAAAACTGCTCACGCTGAGGACAATGTTCCAGGAAAGAAAAATGTCTTTCATGTTTCAAATGCCAATTTTCAATGATATGAAGAGCACAAACTAAATTCTGTTAATCTCGGGAATGCCTTAAAATACATATTGCATGAGACCCAACAAACAAATTGCAGCTTCTTTCCTTTTTCTCCGGTGCAAGTTCTGATTCCTTTGTAAAAATAAACACATACAATTCCACTGTTTAGCCCAAAAAACGAGCTGGTAAAAAAAACCCCAGTATTGGCTGACATCTGAGAAAAAGCACTTGAATTCATCATGTGACTCACATGTAATAGTCCTGTTATAAATATGCCTTTAAATAATAAAATATTGGAGAGTGATTAAAATGAATGATTTTCTCATCCAATGCAGTGCTTGTTGGAGCCAGCCTGTCCAGATGGAAGTGGGAGTTTACTGTACATCAGCACCATTAAAGACCCTGCTCTTTGTCTTCTGAATAGCCGTTTCTATTGGTACAGTGATGTCAAAAGACACTATAAAGTTTATTGCTCGTGCTTATTACAGTTATGCCTGTGTTTCTCTAACTGCTGCCTGTATCACACAGGAAATGTTGCCACAGGGAAACATTGCAAGAATAATTACTTGTCACCAATGTGCAGTTAAGTTGATTTTCTTGCTGCTGATGTTCACATCGCTTACTGCTTTCAAATTCTATTACTGTCTTATTCGTGTTTCTGATTAGATTGCAGAGAGTTTAACACAAATGTGAAATTACATCATTTATGTCTTTGTTCCAACTAGAGTGATGTAAACAATAAGGATGCTTTCCCGAATGGTGGATAGTGATTCTTAATGATCCGTCATGATACTGTATGGCACTGCCGTTACGTGGTGACTGTCTTCATTGATTGGGAAGCACACACAGGATCACTGGCTACACCCTGGCAACATGAGAACATCTGAGTACAAACCACAAAACCACATTGTTCTTTATAATACTGTGACTCCTTCCACTGACACACTGAAACCTGCAACAAATTCACCATCCGATATCAAACATCAAATCAGTTCACCCTCAAAACAAATTACAGTCAATATGTTCACTGTGTCTCCTTTGTGTTCTCTGAACAGTCTTCCTATCAAATGCTTTTAATGAAGCCTTTGTAATATAACTTAGTTGCTTTAAATGAACTTGTTCTGAAAGGGCCAACAGTGACAAATTATTTTAAAAATTGCTGCTGCATTTCAAAATTAATCTTTCTTGCTGTATGGTTATTGGGAATAAAGTGTCCAATTTCTAGTAGTGAAAGCTCTGTGTTGGTTTGGGGGACCAGAGCTCCTAGTAGTCCACATTGTTTAGCCCTGTTTAATCCTCCATTTACACGCCCTTTAATCCATCTCACCTACTGTAGATCGCGCTGCACGAGAAATTGGAAAGTCCATCAAGATGTTTGTAAAGTCATTCTACCCTTTCAGTGCTAGTTTGTTTCAAACTAAAGATGTGAATTACAAAATCAGTCTGCACCATTAAAACTAGCAAAGTATCCTTGTTGTGTGTGACATATCTAATATCTTTTTCACATTCATTTATATGCAAAACAACATTTGTCAGTTATCTATGGAACAGTTCTGCATTGTTTACCGCCTGTTAATGCTGCTTATTTTGTTATACTACACAGCCTTATGTTGGTTTACTGTTTACTCGCCCCTTGCATGGGGATATGTACATGCACATTGAGAGCCGATGTACCAGAGTCAAATTCCTCGTGTGTCCGACACACCTGGCCAATAAAGCGGATTGTGATTCTGAAGTTACTAGATGTAAACATATACTTCAGTATATGTAAACCACCACTCAGAGAAGGCAACTTAAAAAAAGAGAGCACAACCAGTTCCTGGAACCCAAAAGGTCTAATTTAATGTTTATGCTGATGACACCAAGATGTATTTCAGCTATATTCTGAACATTAGAACATTTCATGTCTTCCTGTATAAATTAGTTATTTTTAATGGAATGTCCTTAAACTTTGTGCAGCTGCCAAAAACACTCGAACGTGTATAATTAAACTCGGCAGTTGGAGGCTCCAGATGTCACAGCGACTTGGCTCATTATCTCCCTGTATCACTGATAATTGTAAAATTCTGCTGTTATTTTTCATATTAATGTTAAATAAGCTCATCACACCAGTTGTGAAATCCCGTTTCTTTCAGCCTGGCAAAA